TCAAAATCAGTAGCTCCTCAGCTATCTACTAATAATAGAATGTTTGTACTTTGACATCGAATTCAATAAGTAGCAGATCATGGATTTCTCATAACGATAGTGGAAATGACACTACCCTAGTACAGTCCCATCGCCATCCTTAGCCACCCTCAAAAACAATATACAAATACATCAAAATGTTCCTCAGACACTACGCTATTTATGCTAATCTCGCAACTCTTTTCCGACGATTTTATGAATTTTCCAAAACCCCTAGTGGTTTTCGGGTATTTGAGAGATTTATTCGTCAAGAAAGCACTTTTTCGTACAAACAAGGAATCAGCGTGAAAAACTGCATCTAATGGTGTATAACTCATCTAGTTTCGGTAGCTCGATTTTGAATTTTAGAGATTTCTTAGTTTTTGAGATTCACACAAACAATTTCGTGCTGAAAATTTGAATTTCAAGATAAAGTAACCTGAACGACTCGAAATATGTTTCTTATAGATTTTCGGCAATGCTCTTTCCAGTGGCATCGCTTTGAAATATTGAGAAAGTTTTCTGAACGGTTTTTCAGAGACCGGATCTCCGGAAAACTCCTTAGAAAACTTTTTCAAAACCCACCTCTCAAGCTATTAGAAAGAGGATCATGAAAAACCTATAAAAAATGGTTCATGAAATTTTAGTTCACTCATAAAGCTAAAGTCCGCCTGCTCTAGAAAAAAATGCCCATTGTGTATCATCCACTCGTTCACAAACTCAAAGGACAGATAGGTGAAGTCCAGGTAAATGAACTTCTACTCGAATTCTGGACGGGTAGTCAACTGTTGACCGACTTGGACGAGTTACGTGTCGGCGGCGAGAAACCCGTTCAGGATTATTATTCGTTGCGCGCCGTAGCTCAAGGATTCGGTCCGTTCTATGAAAATTTGCAACGAGCCATTATGTGGATTGAAAACGAAATGAACTCCGTCAATGATAACCCGCTAGTCGATGTCGACGAAAACAAAATTCACCACAATGCCAATTTCACGGGTTACTATGTGACCGATGCGTGCGACATTCTGAAAATGAGCATCGCTCAGGCGTCGACGTGGCTCTAGAGTTTCTGAAAAACTAGGTCTTGAAAAGCCATGAACCAGAATCCTTTTAGAGTTTTTACTGGCTCCATATACTCTGTCGATTGAGGTATAACTTGTGAGAAACAGAAAGTATCACCTCGAGCGGTTCCCTCGTAAGCGAAATATTGGCAGGTGTTGTAAAATAGATTGTTTGTCCAAACATTGCAAGTGTATACGTACCGCAAAACCATTGAACTTTGAACGAAGAAGAAGAGTACTGTTAGAAGAAAAGAAATCTGTCTCTAACATACCTAAACTTGCACCACGAGTAAATGTTATATTTAAATTTCTTTCATCCGATGAAATACTTTTACGATATCCAAGTGGTAAGAATGAAACGAATGTATATATATTATTAACAGGATCATCTTGTACAATCCAAAGGCCACTCATATCACGATAAAATTGATCACTAGCTGATGTGGTAACAGTGGGATGTTTAAGAGTGGACTACTACTCCTTTGGTATAATCGGTAAATTCTTCGATTTTTGAGTTGAAAAGAAAATGCGTTAAAGTTTGATGAGGCATCTAGTGTACAAGAGAAATGATGACAAACATCTTATTTGAAAGATTAACAAATCATTAACTTTTTTGAGTTACACACTCAATTTTCACCAGATTGAGCTGAAACTGT